TTGTTTTTCCGGTTTGGGTTCTGATTTCTTTTTCAGTTAAGTTCCTTTCCTTTGTTAAAAAGAATGCAAGCTCCACTATCGAGCAGTGAAAGTGCAAAAGTCACGAAAAACGTGATCGACCTCCATTTGCGAAAATGGCAATAAGTTATCAGATTTTCCAGCGAAACAAAGTTTTTACCTTGTGATCCGATTTTCTCAAGTTGGGTAATGGCTCTTTGAATTGCTAGAAAGATTTATGATTGGTGCTTTTTTGATAACATTAACCCAACTCTTTCTAGCAATTCAAAGAGGTTAAAGGACATCAATTTTTTTGAAGTTCGAAAGTTCAACAAAGTCAGTGTATTTTTTTCTGTTTTCTTGCGTTCATTACTCTTTTCCATCTGTCAGTTGGCTCTGTTTTTTTAAACTCAAATTCATCTCCCAGCTTACAGTAGTTTGCGCTCTTCAACTTCATTTGCCAGCTTTAGGTAGTTTGCGCTCTTTTAGCAATAGTTCGCTTTTTTTCGCCAATCGATGTGCTGCATGAAATAACTTTATTTTGAAGTTTCATGGCTTCAATGTCCTAAGGTTTCAAAGTTTCATCGCTTGAACAGCTCTTGCTTAGAAAGCTTGAGAAAACTTCCGTCAATCGATCTGTTCTCTTAAGTAGCTCGACATATTTCAAAATTTCTTTGCTTCAAAAAAGTTTCAGTTTTATCGCTAACCGATTCGTTTTATGAAATTGAAGTTTTTCAAAGTTTCATCACTTGAAAAGCTTGCTTCGAATAACGTAAACTTTTGATGATCTGATTCTCTCTGAAATTACATGGAAGATTGCAAAGTTCCTTGACTTGGTTACTTGGCTGGAAAAACTTGAATGTTTCTCCAACTACTTCGCTCATTTAAAATATTGAAATAGCTTGAAATATTTCAAAATTTCATCGCTTAATTGGTTTGCCTTCAAAACTTTATTTTTTTGCCAACCGATTCGCTCTACGGGAATTCGATTTATTTCATAGTTTCATTGCTTCAATAGCATGCTTAGAAAATGCGATGTTTTTGCTGCCCTTTTCTCTCTATGAATTAACTCGAATTGTTTCAAGGTTCTAGCGCTTGATAAGTTTGCATAGAAAGACTTTTCGTGAACCGCTTAGCTATGTGATATAACTTGAAATAGTTCGAGTTTAATTTTAAGGTTTTTTGAACCGATTTGCTCTATGAAAAATCTGACATACTTCAAAGTTTTAGCATTTGAGTAGCGTGCTAAAAAATGCAAGCCGATTCACGCAATACAGCGTTTCAAAATTTTTGCATTCACGCAACGAGATAACATTAAAAAATTCAAAGATCTTGGCTTTAATTGGTTGCTAAAAATCCGTTAATGTTTGCGAAACGAGTCTTGGTATAGTCTTAACAATTCTGTTTCATCGCTCGTCTAATTTGTTTTAGGCTTACTGCTTGCTGATAAAGCTTTAACTTCATGCGAATCGGTTCACTATGAAATAATTTTGAATTATTTCAAAAGTTTCATCGCTTGAAAAATAATTTTGCGAATCGCTTTAAGGTATGACCTATTACAAAGATTTTAATCACTTGAAAGATTTGCTCAGAAAAGATTTGAAAATTGGTTCAAGCTGAAATACCATGAAGTATTTCAAAATTACATAGCTTGCATGAATAGCTTGCCTCGATAAAGTTAAAAACATGCAAACAGATTAACTATATGGAATCACTCAAGTTCCACTTGAATAGCTTGCTGATTGCTCAATACAAAAAATATTTTCCAAGCTGATTGATTAATTGAGACCGGCTTGCCAGTCTCCTTGAACCGAATGTCTTCTAGTCGAAGCGCACAATTAAGAGTCTTTTCTGTTCATTATTATGCGTTGATCTGCAGGCTCAAACGCTACGCTTATCTTGAGTTCGCAAAGGTCAAAAAATTTTAAGTTTTTGTAAGATTTATACCTGTATATTGATTCAATCCTTAAAACTATTAAAGTTCCTGAAGAATTAGTTTTCAATTCCTATTTGTTCGAATGCTAAAATACGCATTTTTGGCCGACCGACCCTTAAATTTTTCTAGAGGCGCCTTCGGAGCCAATATATTCTAACTTTAAGGGGGAGCGCCCGCCAAAAAACGCGATTTTTTTGGCAAAATGTCCAGAAAGTGCCCTAAAATGGCTTTTTTACCTGTTTTTTTTTTAATTTGCCTGTGGCGCAGAAATATTGGTCTATCTACAGTCTTTATAGTGCTTTAAGAAAGCTCGGAAAATTAATTTGGTTGACCCAAAAAAAGGTCAAAATTTTCGAAATTTTTTTTTGAAAATCCGCCCCCCACCTTCGAGAAAATCTTAGATCCGCCCCTGAAAACACGTAAGGTTGTTTGATGGAGGGTGCCGAAATTCTAGACGACAGTCGAATTCTAAGTTAGGCAGTTTTTGCCTGCATTGTTTTCCCTATATTTTATGCTTTTTATGTATTCAGTTTGACATCTTTATTTTACGAAGTGTGTTTTTAATTGTAGATCATTTTCTTAACCAACTTGAGTATCATGGAAATGCAGAAATAGTCAGTTCATATAGCATCATCACGGCATTTGCGTGCGCCATTTTTTAAAACAGAATTTTGTCTTGTCGAAACGCTTTGTTGAGAGTCTCGTTCAAAAAATGTTACGCTTCATTCCATTCTGCAGCCTTATACGCTCTGCTAGTCTGGAATTTGGAAAACGAAAAAGAAAAGAAGGTTTCATCATAAGATATTAATAAGTGAAACTTGATTCAAGCCGTAAAGTTTGAATTGAATTTTAAATATTTAAAATCTGATAGCAGAAAAATGGAATTGATTCATATTTCAATTTATTCGTTTTTTCAATTTCAGTTGAATTTATTTTTTTTGTTTTAGTGGTTTATAATTTTTCTGCCAATCGGCCTTCGTCAATTTGATTCAATAAGTGTACCACTTTTATTTGATTTCCTCCCACACTTACCATCAAAGCCCACGCTCAAGTATTTTATGTTCGCTTTCAAATTCCCCTTGAGCTGCTTCTTTGATTCAAAATTGGTTCATATTACCAAGCTCTTCCAGCTTCGATTTCTTGTTCTTTCATTTTTATCCCCTTTTTTGTGTCTTGAGACTATCGGATTTAGGATTGGTAATTGAATTTCAAGAGGAGGGGTTATTGGAGTTTCTCAGTGTGTACTAGGCAGAATGGAGTAGGAAGTGAAGTAGAGCTTTTAATGTTTTTTTTTTGATGATATGCTCCCAAAATAACATTAATTGTTCAGTGATCGGATGCTGAGTTTGAAAATTGCATCCTCAAATTTCTGATTATAAATAAATGTCATCTCTGATTAAGACCAATTTTTAATCTGATGTTATTTGCGACAGAGGATTGTTGTCTATATGAGATTGTGCCTTCTGCTTTACGTACAAAACGCAATTGTTTTTCAGTATTCATGAGATTAAACATGGTAATTCTCATTCAGCCCTGCGAGGATTAAGCAGGCGAAGTAAGCGTTGTGTCTCCACATACGCGGCACTAATTGTGGCATAACGTGCCTTCTATTTGCCCCGATGAAGGAGCTATACTATTGCTGCTGCATATACAGTCGTACAGTTTTCAGCCATTGTTTGATTTCAAGCAGAACGGTAGAAAAGCAGATGGAATACAACCTAAAGCGCATTAATTTTCTCTCTTCCTTTTTCTAAAATATGTTTCATATTCTCGAACAGAAATTGCTTCTATTTTTTGATGTTTGGCTGTTTTTTTTTTAAATCTCAAAACTAGATTTCAATATCTATTTATTAACAATGTAGTTTGAAATCCTCAATAAAGCTCAAAAAAGACCAAGTTGTTTTTACTACCAAGTTTTGATAAAATCATCAAATAAATCTATATTTAGCATGCGGATTTGTTTTTCATAATATTTTCGGACCAGGTATGAGGCTGTTGTACGATGTTTGTTTTTAATTTCCCTAATTGCTATGACTGGAGCAAGCACTGCCCGTTGTGTCGTGTCCATCTGATGTGTGTGATGTGTATTCTTCGTAAACTGAGATGAGAGATAGGATTTAACGTAGCAACGGATTGGGAGAAAGAGAGATATAAATTGAGTTGAAAAAATTGTGCGCGACGTAAGACATTTTGTGCAATTTTAGCATTTTTGCAATAATCTCGCTGGATGACCTGATTTTGTTGGCTGGCTCTGAAGAGCTTTTCTGTTCCGTGGTAACAATAAACCCACCACTCTGAGAATAATTTCTACCTCTAATTTTAATTACGCCAAAATCCCCCACAAATGCAACTACAAACCTCTACCGTACTGTTACTGTTCAACCATCTCCGAAAAAGTAGTCAGTTTACGCTGCTTCCTGCATCGCACAAGCATAACGAAATTGTTATATTTAATTTTGTTCTTCTTATTCGCAAGGGTTAACTGCCAACCAATTTGAAGATGCTGAAAAACTACTGAAAGAAGGGATATATTTTACTACTCCAATTTGCAAATTGCAGTTCTCGCAGTAATTGTCACTTTTTTCCTGTTTTCTTTTTATGACCTGATGTGGAGATGTTTCTTTAAAATTGGAGATGTTTCTTTAGTTTTTCTATCTTTTCCTAAAAACTGCAGCAAATTGATTTCGGTTTTTAATCGTCGATGGTCAAATTGAAAGATAACATCAGTTAGTTATAATTTTACCCTCCGGAAAATGAGAGCGCTTTATTTGTTCAGCCGGCGTGAATTAGATTTACACAATGAAGATGAGCTTACAAACTCATTATTTCGAATTCATTTGAATATTCATTTAAATTTATCCTACTTACAGTGATTATATTTCGCGTTGATTTTTAGAATCAAGTTAAAAAGACGTGTTTGATTTTTGCTGTAATATATTATTGAAGATAATTAATCCGAAACTTATGAATTAAGTGTTTTAATAAAGTTTATTCGCGAAAGCTACAGACGGTTCCTAAACACGTTGTGGCAATGGGAAACACAGTTATTCGTTTTGACCATTTGCAGTTCCCGACGTCCCCGTTTGGCTCGGATGCAGAGAACGCAGACAGAGGTCAGCAAAGTACAGCGAGTGCCTCCAACACTTTCAGCAGATTACCCAACAGCCTCATCAGCAAAATACCCTTCATGAATGGAGGACCATCCACATCAGCCACAAACACAAAAATGACACGGACCACGACTGCTAACAAGTGAGAATATGCTAATTTGGTTATACTAAAACAAATTCTTTTCTTCAGTTTAAATGGTTACGCTTATCTCTCTTATCGGTTTTATTCCCACATCTTACGTCGTTTAAAGCTTAAAAAAGATATTATAGGTCACTGCGGGGGGGGGGGGGATTTCCAGCATAACGGTCGTCTACCCATATTATTTTGACTGCTTCTTTAGCGTTGATTAGTATTGTGCTAATAATAATAATTCGTTACTGGTTATTGTGTTTGTCGACAGTTTACCTAAAATTGAAATTCATTCGAAATAAACGTGTATAAATTTTGGTTGATACTGTTTTCATTATTTTTTTTCGAAGACATGGGCTTTCGTCTTGTTTTTTGTTTCAGCCACCTAACGGTTTATTCTTAAGTTATATCGCAAGTAGTGCGAATTCTGCATCGACTCTGTGTTGATAAAAATACAGTGCTGATTTAAATTAACCGGACAAAACGAATAAATTTTTAAATCTCAAACGCGTTTTTCTCAAATTGGGTTGAGATTAGTCAAAAAGTGACGAGAACAAAAGTTGCTTAGAATTTCATCAAAAAAATTATGGTGCAATTCTTCTCCGTAATTCTCAACCAGAATTTTACCCCAAAAATGGGTCATTTAGGCTTTTTCAATTAATCAAAAATTACGCTGAAACTACTTTGTTAATTGATGAGAAATATATATCACAAGAAGCCCAACAACGTTCTAGAAGGGTTAAATCTCCAAAACCTATATAAGAGAAAATATTTTAGCGTGATAGTCAAGAAATGTGATTTTTCACTATATAAAACCCAAAATCTTCGCTTAAAAACATTTCTTAAACAATTTACTCAAATTTTTGGAGATTCATCCTTTCTGGAACTTTATTGGGCTGCGTAATTACGCTGAAACTACAAAGTAGTTTCCGCGTAATTTTTGATTAATTGAAAAAGTTAAAATGACCCAAAAGGGTTAAAATTTTGGTTGAGAATGTTGGACAAAAAAATTGCACCATATTAATTCTGGTGAAATTCTATGCAACTTTTTTTCTCCCCATTTTTTGTCTAATCTTAACCCAATTTGAGAAAAATGCGTTTGAAAATTCGAATTTTTTTGTCCGGTTAATTTAAATCAGCACTGTATCATCGGTGCCACTAAGAGTTTTTTGTTTTCACTTTGAGGTGAAATGATATTAGTTTGATTACTTCTTTGATGCTGTTTTTTTTTCTGTACATTAGGTGGTACTGCTTCTTAATAATGACCTAGCGAAATTTGATTTCAGCAGAATGTTTTTTCTTTTTAATGACAGTTTGTCCAGCGGCTTCCTTTTCAATAAAAATTTTGAGGTCAAAATGATCTAAGCAGCTAAAGAAGGTTTCGAACGTTATTTGAGTTTGTGCTGGAAATAAGCCACAGACAAGTGGTATTTACACTTGCGAAGCTAGTGTATTCGTACGATCCTTCTTATTTTCCAACCTAAGTCGCAAATATTGGTGCGGCACTTTTATAATGCTTCACCCCACTGATGGTGGGGCACCTCTACAGCTTTTTGATAGCATGTGCTTTGACATTCGAATGGTAATAAACTAACACAGTTGATGCATTTTTATTTCATCAAATGAACAGAAAAAAGCTATTTGTTTTAAACATCACAATAATAAAAACTCGATTTCAGACATTTTCTTACTCAATATAATGTGGCTTTATGCTTTGCGATTTGTTGCATGCAAAGTTAGTGTGGATGCCTTCAGTTTGTTATATTCCAAATTTTTAATTGCAAAATTGGGTCTGTTTGTTTTTGGTGCTGAATCGCATTGGCAATTCGTTAGCATATGTATTGGTGACTAGTCTTTTTCGGTTGTTAAGCTTGAGTAGCTGAGGGGATTCTGCGTGAGACTCAGAACCTCTTGATTGCAGTTGGTCGGAGATTCTTATCCTATTCGTAACCGAGTTTTTGCTAATTAGAGGCTTATTTCTATTTTTTCTTATTTAATTTCATAGAGCTGCTTTTTGGTCGTGTTCTCGCAAGGGTTTGCGAAGCCCAGCTTCGCCTCTCTGTAAATTATGTTCAATTGTACGGTGAATATGTAAACTTTCTGGAAAACTTTTGTTCTATCACAATGGAAAACATCCGAGTGAAAAAGGAGATCAAAAACCGGCAAAGTTGCGAGCTCAAAAACTCTAATGATATGCCGGAGTGGTAAATAAATAAAATTATCACCAGAAATTAAACCTTAGAGAGATCTTCGATACTTACTAAGGTTTTCGACTTTGGCATCGATTCTAAGGCCTGCTGCCTTATTCTGTTGATGTGATATCATCAAATGTAGAGCAAGTGGGGATCGATTTGTGGCGTGAACAGGAAGCTCGACTTGAGCACTGAATACGATTTGACGGGTAGCATTTTCTGTGTTTTCTGCTTCTTTCACTTTGTTAGCAATTGTTTTAGCCTGCATTTTAGATGGATTTCGCAGATGAAAATGCACAATAGAATCATAAACTCTTCGTCCAAATAACCAATCGATTGAAATTCTCAAAACTACTATGTACTTTAATGAGACTTTTTCCTTGTTGTTTTCTCGATATTTGTAACCATATAAGCAAATGTTTATCCCACGTGTTAAAGTGAAGAATTCTATAACAGATTAACATATCTATCATTCAGATTGAATTGGCTGATATCATTTTCTGTGTTGGCTGCTTTTTCGCTTGTAAGCAACTTGTATCATCTGCATTTTCTACGGATTCCGCAGATAGATATGCCCAAAATAATAATACTTTTCGTCTAAATAACCGATTGATATACAATTTTCAAATATCCTTGCCATCTAATGAGGCTAGTTTTTTTTCGATATCTATACCAGTGCTAGTAGATGTTTCTCCCACTTAAAAGGGACGAATTCAAAAAAAGACTAGGCCTGTTAAACGCAAAGTGTACTCGCAAAATTGAATTGTAACTTCTTTGTGGTTGATTTTTTTTTCAATTAATTTGTTTAAACCTTGATTTTCCAAACCTAATTTCGCATTTAACTGATAGACGGATGCACTCTTTCTGCGCGAAGCATTGTAAGGGTATCGGCATAACGATATGGTTAATACATAAGGGCGGTCAATTTTTTATCTGATGTCTTTCTTGACCGCCTATATGTTTTTTTTCATGGAAAAATTTGTCTGTTTTTGGCGGCCACCTTCTCAGACGAGCGCAGATGTTCTGTCTACTTTTCACGAGCAATTGCAAGTTCTCAACATTATGGGTTCGGCTCTGAAAATGGCAGTCTCGCAAAGTTGGCATTAGAATCGTCTCGCAGTTTTTTTCATTGTGACTTGACTCTCAAGCTAGGGAAGATACCAATAGGGAAGCTCAATCTCTATTCGATTCACTTCTTTGGGGCTCACAGGGGAATCGGAGATTTACAGGAGGACGAAATATTTAAATTGAACCTATCGTAGTTCCTGTGTTCATAGCTCAGCCTATATTTTTTTGTTCAACACGTCGGCTCATCAGGTTAAAATCTCGATCAGAGATTAAATAGAATTATTTTCACAGTTCAAGGATATCGTAGAAGTGATATAGCTCGAAGTTTTTCGTTTTATTGTATCAAAAAGGCCGCTGTTCTACTGTATCTGTCGTGCACTCCTATACTGAGAAGGCAGGTTCGTTTTTCATTAGAAGAAATACTATACTTAATAAATGTTCCTTTTTATTCGAATTGAAACAATCGTATCTCCTCAATTAAGAAAGTTAAATAAATGTGGTGATCAATACGATGTTATGATTTTTTTCCAATTCATCTTTCGATTGACTTTTTAATATATGTTCCGTCTCACCTCTCTTGATTGCTGCTAACTATATCTATGCTAGCAAATGGTAGTTCAATGGTAATGCAGTTGACCAAAAAGTCAGTTAAGTTAAACAACCAGAGGACTTTTTCTTTGTTATAAGCTTTGAAACTATTTAATTTATCCGAACAAGAGTCCAGAAGTTTTTCCAATTTAATGAATATGTGCAAGCGTATTAGGCTGCTTTGGGGGTTTGAGTGGGACAGCCATACAGACATTTTTTATATAAATTATCGTATCGTCAATCAATCAGATCCCTTTTCTTTTTTCTTTTTTTTTCTTGTTCAACTTGTTTGACTCCAATGGCAACAGTGAATATTGAACAATGAGTAACGTTTCTAATCCAGGTGGCAATCGTGTAGAATGGTATAACATTGGGGAGATTCAAACTAAGGATTAGAGAGATAAGGATTAGGTGCAAAAAGTCAAGAACCCTGACCAATCAAGTTGCATAAACATTTCGGTTTTGGTACAGTCTATTGGAATCTGAAATTTAATTGGCTTCAAAATAAGTAAATAAGATAGTTTTGTGTTGCTTTCATTTAGTTTACTTGAAAATACTGTTTTATATGTCGCAAACGCTGAAGGTTTCATCTTTTATTTTACATGTCAAAAGTGTAAGGTGCACATAGTTTTTTGCATAGAGGCAAACATTGCTTAGACCCACATATCAAATTAGTTCAGACACGTGTTGTTTCGATCAATTTGATACGCTAAGTTTTAAATTTTCTGAAAGAATTTTGTGCTAAATAATGTCTTGATTTTTTGACCGATAGGTCCTTCTTTGAAATCGGCTGAATTGTCTTTTAAAATTACTGTATTCAAAAAGTAGCATCTTTTCGCTCGAAGTTGAAACAAGTGTGCTCATAAAGATAAAAGATAATGCGCCATGATGGATAATAAATGCATATGCCTACATGTATTTGTTTCTTGTAACATATTTCGTAAATAAGCTATTCGATTTGAAAGCAATAGGCATCGTTCATATTATATGAATGGCATGTCTATTCTATGCGATAAACTAAAATAAGTTAACGGATTAACTCACAAACCATTTTTTTTGACACGGGGACACTTGGGAATCCGGATAACAGTTCCTAGTAATAATCCGATTTTCTTCCCATTAGAAGTTGGGAGTCGCAACAGAGAACAAAAATGAAAACCAAGCAATTGTAGCCTGTTTGACTCAAATTTTTTGACATAATACACACAAGAAGTGAGTACAATAATAAGAAACTTCGAAAAAAGCTGCCAGGACTTAGAAACTGCTAAACTGAAACCGAAGAGAGAATAGATGAAACATTGAATTGTAAATAAAAAAATATAAACAAGTACAGTAAGCTTAGAGATTATACAATGTGCATGTGTTAAGGTCTTCTATGGGATCTTTCGGTGGACATGACGAGTCGAGTCACAAAGCAAATGGAACTACAAGCTCGCCAAACCCCTTCCCCGTTCATCAATCGCAGTCTCACAGATCAACTGGTGCTTCATATTCGGTGGTAGATGACCAGTATTTGGTGTCTTCACAATCGAACAACACGTCACGCAGGTCAGCTATGAGTGATCATTCAAAAAACTTAAACCAAATTTTTTATTCAAAGATGTGAAAGTATTGACTATGTTATAGGCTTTCTTCTGGTCAACAGCAGCACTCTGTGTCACATCAGAATGGTCACGTGACAATGGGGATGGGAATGGCTGCTGCTAGTGGCCAAATGGGCCCATCAGCTGAACTGAGGAACAGTGTGACCACGAACTACACAGATCCATCCACTAATACAACACTCTCATCCTACCACTCAGCTGGTTAGTCACTCAGTCCCAGTCATTTTGGGGACAGGGCAAAGTCATGTCTCTGACAGGGAGACACTTTTTTTAATCAAAAGGGCTTAAGATACACAAAATATATCTCCAGATTGAAGCGGCTAATAAATAGTGTGTCGAAAAAGTTATTTTCTTATTGATCCTATGTTGTATACATGAAGCCAAAATCAATTGAATCAGACGTGTCATTTCCGTTTATACTTGTTTTAATTTATCAGGAATTTAATTTTGTCGAGTGAAACATCATTCCAAAACAAATCTGTAAGAGGGATATTTAATCAAGTTGTGGTTCCCGAAGAACGTAAGCGAATGAGCAATCAAATCGGGTTCCAAGTATCGGGTATTAAATTTTTTTCTACTTAAGCGGAGGAGTTTAAGGAAATTAATTGCTTAGAAGATTGTTGGTGAACTTTCAGATTTCGACGATGACAATGAGTGTAAGTTGGGAGATTGTATGTTGACTGTTTGTGGCGATGGGAAGTATTTTCCAGAGTATATATAACATTAACCCTTATTTGGCGTTACGGGAAAGAAAAGGGACACTCTGTATTGACCACATCTATTGCTTATCAATAACATTTCTCTAACAATGAAATGGTCGAAGATTTACTTCGAAATGTTTTGCGCTAAGTTGTCAATATTTTTTTACGCTTGCGATTGTGAAAAACTGCAATTATCAATAAACAAAAAACACTAAAATCAAATTAAAGGATAAATTTAAGTATTCAGTAGCTTCGAAAGTGTCACCTGGCGTAGCGAGGAAGTCATTCGAATTTCACGGGGATAAACATCAGTTTTTCACTTAAAATGGGTTTTATTTAACTTTGTTTTATTTAATCATCTCTTTTGAAATATAGGCTTTTTTGCCTCCTTCGTTCATTGTAGTATATCAATGATGTACCAAAATGATTCTTATGATCTAATTCTAATTGAGTAGGTTCTTTTGAGAGGATTGTCTTTCCAGGGTTCAACACCTATGCCATCGCGAGTCCCCTCTCGGGTCCCTTTTTGTCTGCGATTGGGAGTCCGACAAACGAAGTGGCCTCCTCACACTTGTTGCTCTATGAACAGGGTCTCAATGCAGTCAATGACGACGCCGTCCCCTGCAGGGTGCTAAGGTGTGTAGAACCCCCGATTGGTCTAGAAGCCTTGCGATTTTTCATTAGTTAACAGAACACTTGAACAGAACACATTACTCAATTAAATTGCTTTGTTTGAAAACCCGATTCCAATTGCATCAAAACATTAGAATCGGCCAAATATGTATCAGTGCTCTGTAAATTTGGTTTTGAAAACCCCGCTGAATCTTTTTTTTACAGCCAAATGAACACAAAAGTTGTAATCATGTTTTTTCTCATAAATCTGCTGAAAAACATATTTTTTAAAAACGAAGAATTACTGTATATGCTAAGAATTTTTAGAACGACTATTTTTGTTTCAGAGCCGAACTACTCAATCTGGGTTCTGACTCTGAATTCTTGGCCAAGCTGTTCGGAATTCGAAAGTCTCTCAGTCTGATCCTTGCTGAACCCTCGAACCGTGATTTTCTCAAAGGTAAGACCAAACCCAACTCGAAGAGAGCGTTAACTGGCTCTACCCCAGGAGTTAAACGCTTTCTACGTCCGTGCTGTTCCCTAATATAACTTTTAGAAGCTCGAGGCCTGCTTTTTATCCATGTTTTTATGATGTTTTGACTATTTATTTCGGTGTCAATTAACTCATACGTGATTGATCACGCAGTGACTTCATAATGAATAAATTGACATAGAAATAATATTGTCAAAACATCATAAATCACAGATTCACTGCTTGGTCAAAATTACTTTGGAGGGCGCAGAGAAAATTCAGCCGATTTCAAATACAGACAATTCAGCCAAAAATATCAGACAATTCGGCCAATTTAGATTAAAGACACTAGATAAAAGTAAAAAATAAAACTTTTCTTCTGTGAGTCAAATAACAGATTTCAAATATCGAAACAAACTTGCTACGCCTAAAGTTATGGGATATATGTATATTAAAGGTACAAAGTTTTAAATACTTCTGTATATGGTCTCGATTGTAGTTTTTTTGTCTTTTGATGAGTTTCTCATTGGCGATTGAATACTTGGGCTTCGGTTTTTTTGTTAATATTACGGGACATCAGTCTCTCTACATAAATTTCGGCGTTTTTTTGCTCATCTTTGAAACTTTTGATGAGCTTGGGGAGGGTTGTGTGCTTTGTCAACACAAATTTATTGAAGCAACCATTCTATGCCTCCAATGCATTGTTCGTCCGAGGTTCTGCGTTGAGCACCCCTTAAAAACGTTGCAATCGGCAATGTCAAACTTTGGTTTGACGCGTCTATTTCCTCGACAGATACCAGTATAGGTCTTCACACAAGAATATATTTTTTTTAAGTATGAACTTTCTTTTTTTTCCAACCTAAGTTGCAAATATTGTTGCTATGCAATTGTTGCGACAAAATGTGTTCATTTTGAAGCAGTTCATTTTGATCCAGCTATTAAGTACAGCCAATGATAAGGATATTAACTCAGACTATTTTTTGAAAATAGCACTTTAGCCTTAAGGCGTCTTGGATCTGTAGCGTAGAAGTTTGGATGGAGACCAGCAGCAAAATAAGAGGGTTAGAACCTTGGCAGGGTCGGATATTTTTGATGAAATTTTTCGTATAATAGTTAAAATGCAACCGCTCTATAAATTGAGGCATGTTAGTTGGTAAGTTTTTTTTTTCAAATTGACTGGTACTGCTAATGGGTCATAGTTGGCTCGCGTCACTTAGCAATTATGTATACTCATAATTGGCGTGCTTCGCTGAAGAAGTTTTGTAGACTCAAAGTTTTACCCATTAAGTTTTTCCCAGTAGCGTTAGCGGTCATATTTTTGCTCGTGTATGCTAAGTGCAGTTTCGCCTCTGTGTCAAAATAGTACGATAGACTCTGAAATATTCCGAAGGATCCTTTTTTTGGAGCGCCTCAAATGCGAACGTTACATCGTCAACGGGAACGAATGCCAAGCAAATCAATTTTTTGACATTTACACGACTGAGAGTAAATCGAGCACGGGTAATGTTGCAAATCAAGCGCGGGTACTGTTGAAAATTTACTGAAGCTGCCATTCTTTGCCTCCAATGAATTGTTCGTACGAGGTTCTCCGCTCGGCACCCATTAAAAACGTTTCAATCGGATATGTCAAACTTTGGTTTGACGCGTCTATTTCCTCGACAGGTACCAGTGTAGGTATCTTCACAAACATAGCTTGTGTTTTAGTATGAACATTCTTCTTTCCAACCTAAATCGCAAATATTGTTTCGATACAATTGTTGCGACAAAATGTGTTCCTTTTGAAAGTGTTCGTTTTGATCCAGCTATTAAGTACAGCCAAAGCTAAGGATATTAACGCAGACTATTATTTGCAAATAGCACTTGAGTTTTAAGGCGTCTTGGATCTATAGCGCACAGTTAGGGAAAGAGACCAGCAGCAAATTAAGAGGGTTCAAACCTTGGCAGGTTCGGATATTTCTGATAAAATTTTTCGTATACTAGTTAAAATGCGTCCGCTCTATAAATTGAGGCAAGTTTCTTTTTTTTCAAATTGGCTGGTACTGCTAATGCGTCATAATCGGCTTGCGTCACTCAGAAATTATGTAGACTCACAATTGGCGTGCTTCGCATAAGAAGTTTTGTACACTCAAAGTTCTACCCATTCACTTTATCAGTAGTGTTATCGGTCATATTTTTGCTTGTGTATGCTAAGTGCAATTTCGACTCTGTGTGAAAATAGTACGATAGACTCTGAAATTTTCTGAAGGATCCTTTTTTTTGGAGCGCCTCAAATGCGAACGTTACATCCTCAACGGGAACGAATGCCAAGCAAATCATTTTTTTAACATTTGCAGGACAGAAAGCAAATCGAGCGCGGGTAATGTTGCAAATAACAAAACTCGGTTGTCCGACTATCAGAATCAAAATATAGGAACGTATCAACGCTTTGTGTGAGTTTGAGAAGTTCAGGAGTTTCGTCGACGCTCTCAAGTTTTTTTGGTTTTGGCATGGTTTCTCAAGCTTGCTGCCTGATTCGGTTTATACTTCGAATAGAGTAACTCGGTATTGTCGGCGCTGCATAAGAGGGACAAGTCAATTTGGGCGTTGAAGACGATCTGTCGGGAGCGTTACCAGTGTTTGTGGCTCTTTTCGAACTTCGTTAGCAAATATCTTAGCTTGAATTTTTGAGGTGCTCAGTAAATGAGCATGCTCGGTTTTTAGGTTGATTTCTTGTGGTTCGTCCAAATAACCCACTGCTCTGCATTTTCCGGATGTACTCTGCCATTTGCTGGGGCCGTTCCTAAGTTTTTTTTTCACGGCATCTATAACCACCAAGACGATGCTTTTTTCCGCGGTCAGATAATACGAATTCCATTGTAAATGTCAACTTTTGCTAAATGTGAATGAATGAGAATGATTTCGATACTAATCAACCTATTGTTGAAGCTAGTTACGAATGCAGATTAAACGAGGTTAGCTGTTTAAATGGACCAACTAACTGCAAAAATTAGGCGTTTCTGGCTGGACAAAATTTTAATCTTAGTTAGCTTATCGTCTAAAGAAGTTTCAAATTAGTTTCAAGCAACCACCCAAAATACCTGATTGGTGGTTGCACCCTCTACCGCCTAAGGCATGATAAGAATATCAGCGTAACTGTGTGGCCAGTACGTGGTAAGGGTGGTCAATCCTTTAACTGATATCCTTTTTGACCGCCTGTAAAATTCTCAATTTCCGGTCTGCTTCCGTGTAAATTGGCATTTTTTAAGTATTCTGCAGTTTTTTAGTGAGCTCGATTTGTATTTAGCCACTATTCTAAAATTGGAAACTTAATGATCTGTTTAAAATTTTATAATGCTTAGGTACTTTTGATTCTGTTAATTTTGTTTGTTTAATGTGCATTTGAAAGGAATTATAAGTCGTCTAATTAAAGCTTTGATGTTTTGCCGCATGTGAAAAGTTTTTGAAAAGGGGGAAATTTGTTGGAAGAAACAAACTTCGCTCACTAGATACCATAGGGGGGTTGATTGTTGAATGAAGTTGATTGTTGTTTGCATTAGGGGCCGGTAGACGTCTGGTGTCTGACTTTCTGATGTGCTGCAACCACTCTCCGGCAGAGTTCCAGACTGCATTCGATGAGATCATCCGATTCTGTGATGAAGAACAGAACTGGCCCACTATTGAGGATGAACTTTCTCATCGAGGGGTACGTGCTTTTGCTCATGTGTTACTCTTCTCCACTAGCCTAGATTGTAAGTGCAAAGCAGAAGTTGCAAAGCGTTTGAATGGACAATGTTATTTCAAAATGATAATTGATCTATCCAGGAAATATTTTGCGGAGTTTTATATTCTCGTTGAAGCTCAAAATAGTTTAGTTTGCGTTGTTCAGGTAGTGGACATGAACTTCTTCGACATCGTGATCGACTTCATCTTCTTGGATGCATTCGATGACCTGGAGAGTCCCCCCTCCTCCATTGTGAATGTGCTGCAGAACAGGTGGCTGTCACAGTCGTTCAAGGAAACGGTACTTGTACAATGTATTCTTCACCCGCTTGAAATTTAGAAACAAACAAAAATTGGCTGTAGTCGGAATATGTGGCCTACGAAACATCGTTCAGAAAAAAATCTCGTTGAGAAAAAACTTGACATGATAATTGATTATTTTAAATACATTTTATGATATATTCAAGCTGAGTTGAACATTTTGGCTGTGTAAAAATTAAAAAAAAAAATTCACGTTTTTCAACTAAGTTTAAACATTTATAGTGATTTTGTTGTGTGTGCGTAGGCCCTTCGCACAGCTGTGTGGTCTGTCCTGAAAGCGAAGCGGTCGCGACTGAGATATACGGATGGGTTCATCAACCGCTTCTATTCTGTATCCGAAGTGATGTCACCGCTCTTCGCATACGGGTTTCTGGGGCCACCGGGAGACCTGCAGGACCTTTGTCTCTTCTTCAAGGTCAGACAGTTTTTTATTTGATAGGTGGGTTAATGGATAAATGTTTCTCCTAAAGGTCGCCTTCTTAATTGATTGATACTTCATCTTTTGTTGACTTGCCATATCCTGATTTTGTTATAATTATGTTTAAGAGGCGCTGGCCAAAAATGGTTTTCCGACAATTTGAAAAGGCCCAAAAAGGCAAAGCTTTGGCAAAATAAGCTCTTTGTCAGGGAGAGGGTTTTTAGTTCGGAAAAATGTACAGTTTATATTTATGAGGAGTGCGCACATTCAGTCGCGAGGTTCGAAAAGAAAAGAGCTGCTGCTCCTTGGTTGAGGAGTATATTTGAATTCGTTTTTTTTTTACAGAGTGAGATTCTGGACTTCGTACGCAAGATGTTTGACCAATCACTATGTAGATACACGAGCCAATCGGAACTAGCTGAGGACCTACTGGCACTGGCGAGGAACAAAATAGCAATTGTCACTCAACGCTTTAGCGAAATTCTGCCTGCCACAACTTGAAACTAATCACTAGAGCTACTAAATAGGCATTAACTTATAAAAATCCACATTAAAAAAACTTCGAATCAAAAATATTTTAACATCGTGTAGTTGTTGCACTACTCAAGACTGAGAAAAGGCTGTTGTTTTCCGATATTTGCAGTATTATAGTTTTAAAATATATTCTTTGTAACTTTTCTATTGTTATTTTTAGATCCAGTTTTCTCAAATAATGTTAATTCTTAATTGCATCGAAAAAGTGCCAATCATCAATTGTTCTACAAATTCAAAAACCTTTAAGGGCTTCCATTTTTCTCTAAAATTCGATGTTTCAAAAAAACAGCCAGTTTTGTTTCTGTTTAATTGCGTTCATTGACTCTTTTATGACTGTCTGTTGGCTATGTTTTGTTTTATATTGTTTGCCACTAAAAATAGCTTTTCTTGGAGTTGAGCTGCGGCGATAGATGTATCAGCCGCCTTCCTTCGCCAATAGCACAGTTTTCGGTGCTTCCAACTCAGCTGGATTAAAAAATTGACAGGAAAGACTTATTACCCTTGCGTCAACCAAGGGTATTGTAATAGCGCACTAGATTATTTTCGCGTAAATAACTTTGCTCACAGGATTAATCTGGACTTATCTCCTTGTTTCCATAGTACCTTGTTTCATAATTAGTTGAAACTTCTAAGCGTTCCCGGCCCACTTAGCCTGGAGATAACGAATACGCCTGGGACGGCAAAAGGTCCTGGGTTCGAATCTGGCGAGGATTTTTTTTCAAACGGTAATTATTGTTTGAAATAAAATTGTCGGCCAATTATTTGTCCGCTTATCTCTTGTCGGCCTCGTCGCCACATCGTGGGACCGTTTTTTTTTGCTCTACGCTTTTTTATTGTTGCTTTTAGTGTTTGATTTTCTACTACAATTTGTAACTTTACTGGCATGTCTTTTTTGTTTCGCTTGAAAATTTTAATCGGCTCAAACTGTTTGGGCCTATTTTTATCGATTTAGTGGCTTAGTTTTTGGTTAGTTTCAAGGGAAACACAATTTTTACGCTCCCCTTTATACTTTTTAAGCTGGTTGTATTTTTAACACTTGATTTGTTGAAACTTCATTTTGATTTGTTTCGGTTTAATAAGTTTCGGGTTGTTTTATATCGGCTTAGTAGCCGCTTTTTGCGTCGTTTATGTCGCTTTTTGCGGCGTTTATAAAGTTTATGTTTGCCTGTGTGTTTTGAGACGTAGGGGGACGTAAAAATTCTTAAATAATTTTGAATTCAAAACGTTCGGCTTGAAGAGTTTCTGCTCAGGTATTTTTGGGCTTTGTCACCGCTTGGTTGATTTTGTTCCGATGCTGATTTGCATTCTATGGTTTGGACATCTTTTTTTCACAATTATCTACATTCTTTCTGTCATATTAAGTTGTATCGCAAATGGTGCTCAGCTTCAGCTTTTTGGAAATCAAATTATGGCTGAAAAACACAGAAGACCTGAATTTCTCTACTGCAAACTAATCAAACTGTAAAAAAAAAACAATGAAACATGTTTTTTTTAATCAAACAACACTGTTAAATTGATTTTTTCAATAAAAACGTTTTTTCCCCAATATGATGCCTACGAAGAGAAATGTTCATGGTTTGCTGTTTTTTTTTCTGCAATCTGAAAATTTTCAGCGTGATCAAAAATCGTCGGACTTTTGATTGTCTGCTTTGTTTTCGGCTTAGTTGCCCTAACTCGCCTTAGTTTCGCAACGAAAAAAAATCAACGAAAATTTTGTTTAATGTTTTCTTATTTAAAAAAAAACGCTCATAGATATCAGTAATGTTTTCTGTTATCGAAAATTTTCTCAATGTAATCCGGTTATGTAATTGTTTAGGTTTTTGTGTCCCTATGATCCAAGCAATTTTTATCATAATTGAAAATTTTCTCTATAATTTAATTCGGTTATATTTGGAAGCTTTCCATGTAGTCAATTTGTTACGGTGCTCCAAACTATATCTATAAAATACTGAAAAATGACGCTAGTTTTCTCTGCAATAAATTTCGCTCTATAACTCTGGTTTTGGGCCAATATTTTTGTATCGGTAGTGGTTCGTGGCTCCGCCTCGACTCTGTGTTAGCTTTATTTTCTAGTTGTTGTTTGCATTTATTTAAAGAAAGCAAACTCAATATGGTTCTTTTCAGGAATTCAGATTAAGATCTTCAACAACTAAAATGCTCTTCGCGCAAGAAAACGACTTAGTTTCAAATTTAAGATAACCAAGCGGCATAAAAAAATCCATTGAATCAATTTTCTCAATTTGGTTAGGTTTTACCAATAAAGTTCACAAAACGTTCTTGAATTTTAAAGAGCTTTATAGAGATGTTTTTTCTTCTTTAAAAAGGTGATTTTTTGCGCAGAATCAAGTACCTCATAGCTATGTTTTTGTCGTTGAATTAAATGTTGAGAAAGTTTTTGAAACAGCCAATCATTGAAGTTTATAGCGCTGTAATTTGACTTAATTTGATTGTGAGCTCGAGTCATAGTTTTTTTTATGTTTTCGAAAGCCCAAAAAGATGCCGTCGACAGTTGAAATTTTTCGTTTCTTGGATAATTAATTTAATGAAATATAAACATGTTCATTTTATTAAGTATATTAACAATTGAATTTTTATTTTCACCATCTTGAATTATTTCGATATCAAAACAAAGAATGTTCATTTAAAATTACCTTCGCAATTTTTTTTTCGAAAACAACGCATCCAAAACAAAAAATTCTAAATGAGGTGTTGAAAACCGGAAATTGATCTATCAAGACAAAATGTATGTAACGTTCGTACCATTTGAATTGTTTTTCTTTCAAGTTGCTGCCTTATGATTAAATCTTTTACGCATTTTGACTACCTCGTAGAAAGCTGGTATTGAGTCGAGTCTAATATGATTTTAATGCCATATTGATCGTGATTAGGATTCGAAAATATCAAAAAAATTGTCTGTGTCGAGAAAAACTGGTCAAAATATTTTCGATTTTCAGCCTTAGTTAGGCAAAACTGATGGGAGACATCCCTTATTAATTCTACTATTTAACTTTATTTCAGCTATTATTACCTCTCAATCTTGCCATTTTCACCTAACTCTGTTGCCCTTAACTAGAAAAATAACAGAAAATGTATAAATGAAATGAAACAAGTGTTTCATAAGGTTCGAATTTTGTTTCTTAAATGATTGTGGTCAGCAATTTCTGTGCTACTTGCAGAGCAACTGGACCTTCTTGTTCTGAATTGAGATTTGATTGATTGTCAAAATTTAGGTAACAGTCTCAGAACACAACTTTATCACTATTCTGAACAAGGTTTCGATATAGCATTTCAATTCCGTCTGATATCCAATTTGTTTTCACTTGTTTGTCTTCAGATTATTTATGTGTTGTAAAAAGCGCATTGTATGATACACAACTGTTCTTCTCTCCGACGGCTGTCCTCGCACAATTTAGTTTTCACTAGTGTTCGGAGGAATCTGATCCAAATGGGATACTCGAGGGACCACATCTTCATGGCAGTACAAGCTGTTCTCTACATGTCCTGTGCTACAGCTGCATTTATCGCTTTAATTCCTATAGGAGTAGTAAAAGTGAGTGTGATTTGATTTTGGATTTAGAATGAATATAGACAAAATTATGAGCCATTCATTTGACATTAAATTTAATTTGGTTTTCAGTTTTGGTTTGAATTCTTAGCTCAAAATTGAAAGTGAAAAAATGAATAGGAGAATGAAAACCCTCAAGGATTATAAGTTTTTTGTGATTTCAAATGTATTCAATAAAATGTTTGAAGTATTTTTTTTTAAAGAAAGCGTTTCGAGATCTGTGTCTTTTATTAGGTTTAAAATTAACACCTCTGCCGAGAATATATTTATGAATGCTTTGGTGAAGAGTAATAACGCTCAATTTGTTCTTAATTCAGATCTTTTCAGTGAGATTGGTTGATGGGTTTCTGTTCAAACCTTAAATGACAATGGTAAGTTGGCTTGATTGTAATAACCGTTTATGCATGCTTTATTTTCATGAATCTCCAACAATTGTGATTGCTTTTAGTTTCACCTGCAAACTGTTTTACAATGATCGTAAATTTGCGTTGAAATTCTCATTAGAATCATCATTTTTGTTCCGACCACTGAGAATGGGGAGCAACTTTATTCGATTGTTTCGCGACCATTTTTTCTGGCATCACAATTAAAAATCAGAGTGGTTCCTGTGATATATCATAAAAGAGCCCTTTGAGCCGTAAGTCGCTAGACAGAAAAATATCCAAAAGTTTTGTGTCGAAAAAGATCGGTTCGAAATTTTGGAGCTAGAAAGGCGATCGAGTACCGCAAAAAGCCCATAATTTTAGCTGTGGGAAAACTACTTCTTACACAGGTGGAGCGTAGTGTCGTTTTTGTAATCCCTTTCTAATCCAAGTCGCAAATAAAAGTGCCCATTTATTTGGTAGCGCTTTCGGAGCAATAGCATTTTATCTGGTTCATTTTTGGTGCATAGCATTGTATCTTCGTATCTGGTTTAGTAGCGGCTAGTGCTTGAAGATTGTCAAGGGCTCATGGCGCTGATGCTAGGCTGTGTCACTCAGTCTTCAGGTCGGGGGATCTGTTGCTGCACGTAGTGTATAAAAAATATCCTTTTTCCTTTCAATTTTTGAGCCCTTATAAGGCTACTTTTTGCCGTTTTTTCGCTTGTGTTTGTGAAGCTTCATCTTCTCTTTGTTGAGGCTTAGTTTAGCTCTTACCCAGTACTAAGATATAAAAAAACGTCGAAGTTTGAATCTGATTAAAATGTAGTCAATAAAACTCTTGTTCTTGAGTTTATTTGCTCAAATCACGCAAAAAACTGCTCAAAGGGGGTAAAAATGTATTAGTAAATATCAAGTTTTTTGTTTAATAAGTAATGGTGATCGGAACTTTCTGTACTACTTGCACAGCTACAGGAAATTCTTTTTTTTGCTCTTTCAATGTATGCCCTTTGCTTATTCTATCTTTTTTTGCTCTTCCAATGTATGCCCTTTGCTTATTCGATCTTTTTTTGCTCTTCCAATGTATGCTCTTTGCTTATTCGATCTTTTTTTCTATGACTGCAGAAAATTATATCACATGGCTAAACATCTAAAACCGAATGTTCGCTGAATAGTTCTGAATTTAACTAGTTTACACCATTTTTGTCTATCATAAAAAATAAGTTGCTTGTTACTTGCGTCTTTATTTGTTTCACCACTGCATGTTTCGTCTAGCATCATCTGAGGTTACGACAAACAAAAATAAAACCCAATAGGTCATTATCAATTGTGCTCTGTCATAAAATATTTTAGTTCCTGCGAATCGCAGAGGATCCATCAGTAGACCTTAACAGTCCTATCGAGGATAGACCCTTTTTATTATCTCCTGACATTCCAGACTGTGTTAATTTGTTGAGCGAAGCTCTTTTTAGCGACTCAAGGCCGTTTTTTAGCGTATAGAACTTTCACGTGGTACCACTATTGCAGCCAAATTTGGTCAGGTTGTGGTAGACCTGAAGCTAGAGGTCAAGTGAGAGATCGTCTTCAAACACTAACATTGCCATTTCATGAGATCGAATACGCGATCTGACGATTTTAAAAGAACACTTTACCACTATAACGCCTGATTTTCATATACTGTTTAGAAACGCTCTTTAGCCTGCATTCATAAGTGTTTTTGTGCTTTTCACTGACCTCCAATATCTCGAATTTAACTAAATGATGCGTCGGCTGGGGTCATTTTGTATCTGACGATGTTTTTAGGCTAGCTTTCGAGACCACTGTATGTTGTATGGGGAAGTGACCTTCACCTCTACGGGGTCGTTTGCGGTGTCCTCGTGGGGAAGAGACTCCACTTGTTCCTACATCTGTTGGATCAATGCTTTGGTGCTTATAGCAGGAGTGTTCTTCGGCGCATACTTCATAGCCATGTGTTGCACTGGAAGAGAAGCGTTCGGATTAGAGTAAGTAGTCAATCCTTTTCATCTTACGACGACTTATGTTCATTTTGTTATAAGCTGTTTTGCAACGATGTTTTTTCCTTCCTTCTCAACCTGATTGCTACCGTTTCTAAAAGGTGATCACGTTCGGCATCCAAAAGATATCAGTCGAAACTGTGTGAAGCTATAAAACTGACGGTTTTGTATATATTTTTTTGGGATTGGCCTATTTGTGTTTGCCGATTAAAAAGACAATCAATAAGATTGCAGTTAAGTTTTTAGCGAGCACCAAGATTTATGTTAATCTATGTCTTCGTCTGAAGGAACCTTTAGCTTGAGGCATTACTCGATGTTAATCCACACTAATGCCCATCTCTTTTCTCTCAATTTTTTTGCTCAGAAAAAAGTCACAAAAAGTGTTATGGTTTCAGAGCTGCCTGCTGTGCGCCCTTCCCTATTCAGATAATTGTTCACATTGTGTTCACTTTTCTCACCTTCCTCGCCGCCTGTCTGTCTAGTGCAGGACTCAGACACCTCTGCGCTTCCATCAAAATACAGTCTCAAGACACATACCAGTGGGTTCGAGTTTCGTTGGGACATATTTTATTTAGGAAGCATTGGAAAATATTCTCTCCCATAGCATAGACATAGACACTTTTTCTTTCTATTCTCAGGCATAAGTAAGCCCAATTTCTTGCGGGCGATTACTCTTCTAGATGCATCAGAAAAATTATATTGTTTTAAATTGCATGTTCAGAGGTTAAGCATAAAGAATAGCAAAAGTTTATACTCATAGAAAGAAAGAAAGAAAGAAAGAAAGAAAGAAAGACAATTTATTTCTCTATAAATAGTACATCAGAAAAAAAATCCGCATGAAACTAGTTATGTAAGTTATGTTTCGTTTGTACTTCAGATGTGGCCAAATGGCCGGAGTGAGCTGGGCTGATCCTTATGTACACGACACACACGGAGAGTTCTATGATTTCCTACACTCATCCAAGGTAACATTTAATTGACCCCCTAGTTTCTAGAATCCAAATATATTTTCAAGGGTGTTGCAACTGGTTACTAGACTTCTGTTACCTTAGACAACTTTGTTCACAAGAAATCGCGCGTAAAAATGTTACACGTGTGTCAATTTACTTCTTAATGAATCAAAGTTCAAGCAACCATCCAGCGTATCTGGCATAGAGGTAACACACCTGCTTAAGGCTCGTGGTTTGAATCCGAACAATTTAGGGAAAGCTACAACTCTAATTTACGTTTACAGCCCTGCCATTTGTCTGCAAGCTCGCAACACGTTGTCGCTGCGGTGAGTATTTTGCGCACTACATGTGGCATCACGTGTCGATTAATATGTGGCGTTGGATGAGCGAAATAAGTTTCTTATGTGTCAGTTTGAGGGAGTAATTATTTATTTTTTGTTTGATTTTTTTGAACCAATGGGCGTGTTCTCAAAAATAGTCGGTTTTGTTACCGCTTCGTAACTAAATTCTTTTATCGGTTTTCTTATTCGAGACAAATTGAGGCAAATAATGAAAATTTTGGTAGATCTAGTTTTTTTCGACATATAAAAAAATTCTTTTCTTTCAATTTTAATTTGCTTCCGTCGGAATTTATGTCTGCTAGTTGATCATGCTATTATGTTTGCTGTATAGCATGTGGATCGAAACTCTGCTTTGCCTCGCAAGGGATTACTGATAGGTAAAGATGAGGAAAAGTCAAATGGAAGTCTGACATGGTTTGGTAAATAAGATGTGATTAGAGATTTGTTTTGAATTTCAAAGAGTTTAACGTGAGATATTTCTTCTTCGAAACCCAAAACTTGAAGCTATTCAAAAAATCAAAAGTTTTTGGGTTTCTCAGTTCAATGTTTGAAAATTGTACTGGCTATGTTTTTATAAAAGCGAAGCGTAGCGTATTATTATCAAGGATTTTTTTCTTACCTAAGTCGCAAATAAAAGTGCTCGTTTGGTGGCAATTTTGGTATATTTCAATTGAATCATTTTTCAGCCTATTTAAGCATAAGCAATTAAAAACATATTTTGCTGTTTTGTTTTTGGCTATAATTAGGTCCTGTATAAGAAAAAACAGGTATTGTGACAATGTATGGGTTTTGTTATTTGTTGTGATTTTTTGCCACGCTTTGGAAAATTTTGCAGAAATTTGAATTTTTCTCAAAAACTATACTTATGGAAAAACAGGCCCCCTGTTTTCATTTTACCCCACGTTCTACGGCCTTCGAAAGTTTCATTGACCCCCCTATTGGTATTTTCGACTTAATTGGTTTGAATTTTTTCATTTTCTCAAATAATAAATGCACAAATCTGAGATGAGGGTTTCAATCGAAAGAAAAATTCTAGGGATCTCCCCTTCTCAAGCGGCTATACCCTAAGTGCGATAGAAAAAACTTATCGCCTCATACAAGCCCATTTTTTGACATTTTGTTAATTTTTAAAAATTTTTGGCTTTTCTTATACCCTGCTAAATCGGAGATTAAGAGTTTAACCGAAAGAAAAACAGTTGCAAATCTTCCCTGAACAAGTAGCTATGCCTTGAGTTTTCAAAAACTAACCTGCTGATTCTGAGGTTAATGGTTCATTCAAATTAACATGGTGGTAAGATTTTCCGTTTCTGTTTTACCCAGCTTTTTTATCATAAAACAGCTGATATGACTTCGGAAAAATCCATTTTTTGAGACTTTTTCCGATGATTGTTTTTTAAAATTTCATCACTATTCTCGAAAACTACTAGCTAAATCTGATATTAAAGGTTCAATCTCGAAATCAGGGTGTTGAAGTCTTCTTTGCATGAGAGTTTTTTCTCATGCTTTAGAAGAGAATTTTTATGGGTTTAGGAAAAGACCAATTTTATTTGAATTTTTATTTTTCTTGAAAACAATTCAGCCAAATCTGAGATAGACTTCAATTGAAAGAGCGAGTAGTAGTTTTTCAATCAGCGGCTAGTCCCCTGCTCATGCAGAGAACTCTCTAGGGTTTTGCGTATAGTTCATTTTTTGAAATATTGAAAATGAAGCATTTCCGTACCAGTTCTCCCGCTTTAACTCCCGCATTAGCTGGGCCACTAGTTTACTTTCAAGCGACCGTGGCGTAGATGCGCGAATGTGAGACTCCTAATTAGCAGGTCGGGGATTTACATCCGGAACCTTGAAATAGTCTTGGTCGACTTTTTGCTGCGTAGGACTGGCAATTTGGTAGAAATTGTTGCTGCTTTGTTGGTGGCTAGTGTTAGTAAAATTACAAGCGGTCATGGAGCAGAGCAAGAACGTGATACTTATAAAGACAGTACAAATTTTTACTCAGGTGTATTTTTAATCTTTTCCATATTTCACTTTGTTTTACCTGAGCCCTTTTTTTTGCATTTTCCTCGCTTGTGTTTGCGAAGCGCAGCTTCGCCTATGTGTGAAAGTGTTTCAAGATTATTTTGTTTTGTTAATGTTTTTCATTGTGCAGACAGCCTGCTGGTTCGTGTTTGTGACTGTGCTGTTCAATCTGATGATATACTTGGCCAGATGGTACTGGGAAAAGCTGCAACATGCAATCAATGCAGAACATCACCCCATCATACATGACACTACCACCGCTCTTTAAAACCAATAGTAATGACGTCACCGGCCAGTTTTAACGTTACACAATAGCTACAAGCGACATCACAGAAATGGCTCATTTGGAAAACAGAAGCAATATTTGTGGAGTCAATCGACTTCATTTAGATAAAACTAAAAAAACTAAGGAAATTAAAGATAATGAAAGTTGCAACCCTTTTGATAGAAAAAAAGGCCATTGGAATCATTATGAAATCTAGATAAGCTCAAATTGTTTGAGTTTTTTCAACTTATATTCCGAAGATTGTAAGGAAGGACTATTTCTTTTCGTGGAATTTCTTTTTTGTGACTTTCATTTCTGGGCTTTGGTTTATTTATACTGTAATTCGACAATCGCAATTTATTACCATTTTCGGTGCAATATTATTTATGTTGTCAATGTTTTAATATTTTGAAAATGTTTATACGAAGCTATGTTTTCATTTAATTTATTTATTGCAAGTTTTTAAATTTTTTATTCAGCTTAGGTAAATTGGTCTAGAATTGCACCTGGTTTTGCTTCGCTCACAAATGCTCAGAGTTCTTTTCACACAGCCGTAGTCCAAAGTGTTTTTTCGAAGCAATTTTTGTACATTTTATTGGGATATGAAATAATGGAAGAGATGAAGGCTGGGGGCAAAGAATACGCGCCATGAAAATTAATCTGCGAATGTTTGTTGAAATAAGCCATGAAAATTAACAAAAAACGTAAAATGTTACTTGCCAAAGCTTTTATTATCGATTGCATACATAATATGAGTCTGATTCAATTATTTTTTGGCGTTGAGTGAGTTTTTTAACAGAGCATTTTTTCCAATATCGCCCGACTTGTTAAATTAAAAATGTGTATATTTTCCATTTATATATATATATATATATATATATATATATATATATATTTTTTTTTTTTTCAGTTGTTCGAAAATAAAAGTTTGTTTGTAGTATGATCAAAACAAAGGTGAATTGGCTAATTTATTACAACTTTTATGTTCCAATAATTTGATGTTATCGCTAAAGAGGTTGCCTCAATTTAATTAATTCCGGGCCATGTCTTCCAACTCACTTCTCAGTTAGCAGCAAAATCATGGAGTACAAAGGAAAAAGAAGAAGTTCAGCGAAATATGTGTTACCATCAGAATGCCAACCAAAAATGAACATTCTGTGTTGAATGTTGGTTAATAGTTTAGTCTCTACTTGATTTATGCCAACAAATTGAAAATAAGCAAAGCGTTAAATGAGCTAGTGCATATAAATTATTATTGGCATGGTCATTGTTAAAATTACTGCAAATGTTTTGGATTTTCGCTCGAAAATCCCGATATTGCTTCCCAACCTGATTCTGTGTCCCTCATAACCTTCAAAATGTTAAATTTCTGATTTCTGTTAAATTCAGGAAGGTGTAAAGGCATAGGTTGCTCCTTTGAAATATCGAAGTCACTCCGATATGCCAAACTTCAACAGCATTTGTCGTTCGTGTCAAACCTTCTCCTGCTTTTTGGGACTGGTTCCAGAAATTCATAGGGAATAACGGTTGCCTAATGTTTCGCCTTTAATGTAATTTCTCTGCAAGTATGAGGCAAGTTCGTCAATTTTATCGGACAAACTTTGCACAAAAATTAACCGGTCTACCACATGTTTGATCTGCTCAATAACACTCAAATGTTCAGGTGGAACAAAACCGGTCAGGTCCATCATTTCAGGTGGAACAAAACAGAGCGGGTTTTAAACGGAAAGCCAAGCTTAGCTCGAAATTGTTTTTATAGGCCCAGTTTGTTAATTTCGCGTGAAAAATTTGACAGAGATTAAAGTAACAGCCGTTGAAGTTTCTGGATATGCACTTGTATTTGCGTTAACGGCAATTTGTTCAAAAACTAGTAGTATCATTGATGGCTGCGCAATTGTCCGAGACAGAAGAGAGATGGCTTTCAGATATTTTAAATTTGTCTGCATTTTTTGGACAGTTAAGCATAAATGCAAGGTGGTTCAAAGCAATATGCAATATGAAGCTGGTAAATGAGCATTGGGCGAAAATTGAGCGTACCGTCGCAAAGCCAAAAAAAATTGATCTCAATTAGCATGTACATTATTCTGGCCACCAAAAGTTAAATTCGTTCAGGATCGATTAAACAGAAATCAGTTTAATCAGAAAATGCCTGTCTTCAATGATTGGCGAGAATATGATGATGATTTTCTTTTCTAGTAATTAATTCTGGTTTTGGCGGCAGGATTCGGCAAAAGTAATTGAGCTGCTTTTTCATCTGTTACTTCTTGGAGACAACTGGCAAATATACTACGACTGGAAGGTACAGTTTGCTGCTTTGTCTCTTTTTCATCTGAGCATAATCTAGTTTACCTTAGATTTTTCCCTGTCCAATATTAAAGTTGTGCTCTATGTGGTGGGTTGCTACCAGTCTTCACCTGCTGCGGCATTTGTGTGAACTGTATTTTGCGCATATCCAATGCTCATTAGTTGTTATTGTTTGCCTTTTTATTGAATCGTGTCCGTCAATAATGAGCATTTGTTTATTTGGTTGAAATGTAAATTGATTCATAGTATTTATTGTCGCTGCTTACGAATAAAATGGTAAAACAATGACCAAAACTGAAAGAATAATATTGTTTCATTCTGTTTCAATGGCGCTAATTGTGGATTTTTAACAAATTTTGAAGTGTTGTTGTTAAAAGTATGTTAAATTGATTTCTTGGACTCAGCTTAAATCTATTTCATTTAGAATCTTTTCCTATCTCAAAACGTGTCGAGTTTACATTAGAATTTGCTGTTCACCAGTTTGAACATCAAAGAATCAAGTAAAAGTGTTAATTATGGGTAAAGCGGCATATAACAAAATGTCATGTAGGCCAAATTAGTGTAGCACTAATTGCCATAGGGCCATTTGTCCTGGGGAAGATAGTTCTGAGACCAAGTTTGAGTTCTTAGACCGAGTTTGGGTTGTATGGCGTAGTTGCGAAAAAATTGGTATTATTCGAATCTCGTTGTTGGCATATTTTTTGATTAAGCAAAGCTAATTGGCGTATTTTTGTGTTTTTTTTGTTTTTATAACCTCCTTATTCCGTTTTTTTTGTTTGTGTTTGCGAATTACATCTTTGCCTTTCAGTTAATTAGTCATATCCGCTTTATTCAATGAGCATTATTTTCTGCTTCAAGAGTTCTTTTTTATGCTTGCGCAAATTTTTGCTGCTCGTGTGCCATGATTGGGCGGGTATCACCGTCGATTGATTTACTCAAATAATTCAGAAGGATAGCCAGTTACCGTACAAATAGCGCAGAAGGTTCCGACTAGTCTGAAAAAAACTTTTTTTCAAGTTATTGTCGTTTTTTCTGTGTGGTGTTATAAAAAGGTCTGAAATTGTGATTTCCAAAATCGCGCTTAAAACTAAATTTGTTCGAGTGAAACCAAGTTTTCGCGGCTTAAGTTAACTACGTTTTCAGGGCTTAAATAAGCGGAGTAAAACTATACTTCACGGCTTAATTTAGCCTGCACGCTGAATGTATTAGCTCGAAATTAGACCAAAAATCAAAAATTTCAAAGCGGTTTTTCTCGACACAGAACAAATTTTTTCAATTTGCTTCGAATCAGGACTAAAAGCGCTTCAATATGGTATATAACTCTATCCATTCCGATGATTATTTGCGGTACCTGATTTTGCGTGGAAAAAAAACTAAAACACGCCCGAAGACGAAGTTCCTTCGCATTTTCAAATGGTCGAAACAATAAGCTTTTGTCAGCTAATTTTGCGACTGAACGAGCTCCTGTTTGCCATTTTTTTGCTTGTGTGTTCAGAGTAGAGGTTTAATTTTTGTTGACAATCCATTGGCTCGGTGAGTAAAGTGGATGCAATTTTTTGGAGTGTTTATTTGGAACGATGTATCGATCGAATGTTGGATCACTCGGCCTTTTTTATGATGTATCACTCGACTGGATCTGATATTAATTAGTGATCCTGATTTGGAAAAGAAAACAAAACAAACCTGAAGATCATTTCTTACCTTAAGTGGTCGGAATAGTTAACGTTTGGAAAACTTTCTGCATTCATAAAACAAGGCCGCTAAGAGAAGTTTAAAGAAATCTTGCCTTTTTTTTACAATTGGAATTGGGCAGAGAAAACTATATGAAGCTTAAAAATGAAAGTCTGGTTTTCTCAAACGTATCGTATTGCCTAGTAAAGTAGCCTGGTTTGAGAAAACCAGACTATCATGCAAATTTATTATGTAGTTAAATTCGAGGAATATTTAAAAAAAAACTCAAAAACATCTGCTAGAAATCTAAGTGTGTATTCCAAAATACCGTTGGCTAAAGGAAACAAGACTGCTCGTATCAGGGCGAAGCCCTGAATGTTCCGACTGCCTTTTAAGGTTTATGGAGCAGCAGTAAAAACATAAAAAAATTAAATGAAATAAAATAAAATGAATTTTTTTTTCTAAAATTTGAAATTTTCAATGAAAATCATCCCCCCTCAGGCCATATAAAGTACAAAAAGAGAGATTTCGTTCCTTGTAACAAATCAATTACGGCAAATAAGCTTCGTTCAACTAATTTGGAACGATTTATAAGACGCAATAACTCTCCGCTTACGCGTTAATAGCGCGAAATATATCGCGTGTTAATTGTCTCAAATTAGTCAAAATGGCAATCTTTAAACCCTCATAACTTTACGAAAAATAATCACAGGTGAAATATCTTTTCAAATTTAAGCTCAGGACAACAATACCTTTTGAGTAATGTAAAGAAAAAATTCCGTCAAAAATGGCTAGTTAAAAAGTCGAAATTTGTCTGAAGAAAAAAAACCCACCCCGAGCACAAATATTCCGTTACTTTCGTATCGAAAGTCGGAACAACTAGAAATTGTAATGTCCACTTGAGAATCCTATGCGGATTTGATCCACAATTGTTGAGTTCTTACCGACGAAGTAACGAAACAGATTATGGGGTTGCAGCACTACTATATAGCAACTCAGTTCACTCAAAACATTCAATCAACATTGTCCCCACTAACGCATTCTGACGTAAGCGAACCCCTACTTGTGGTTGAGTGTTCTAAATTGGTAGATTAATTTGACCTGCTGTGGTTTACTTTGAATTTTTATAAAAGCCGAAAGTGGCACCTTGATGGTGGATATAATAATTGTCTTTTTAACCTTGTTAGTTGAGCGTAGTTCATTCGCCAAAATGAATATCACACATCTAAAATGTTCGAACGAACAAAGCGAACTCTTTGAAACGCGCATAAAAATGTTGATCAAACACTCAATTAATAAACATGGTCGGGTCGGGACATGCTGCTGTGATTTAATTACAGATCACAAATTAAATGATACTTCAAGCCAAAGTTCGCGACTTTTTTGTTCTTCTTGAACCAATCATCACAGCTTTCAAATGAATACATTTGTTCAATCAGTGTTCGCTTGAAAAAGTTTGCTGCTAGCTTTGTCAAAAAATTTAACTTATTTGAATACTTGTGTATAATCATTTTAGGTGATATATAGAGCTGTCTTCGTTCAAAAAACTTACCGAAGGTGACTTGATTCACGATAGTTCGAAAATTTTATTACAAACTTTTCTAAATTATTATTCTACATAAGTACAATTGCTACCCCACTGATAAGTCTCTGAGCAATTGAGACGTCTTGATGACAGAAGTAAGCAATCGAAGAGGAATCATGGATACTTATCGAGTAAGTTCGACGACTAATTTAGTGAATAGCAATCCCTGCCATCTCAATTGAAAGTCATAGTCAAAATGGGTATGTCACCAATAGCGTTCGAAGTTTTTGAACATTTAGCGCTCATTGCAAAGAATGTTAACTGCCAAATTTGTTTGCAGCATAGGTAGTAAACATTTGAAAAATTTAAGTGCATTGCAGTCAGATTCATGAAAAACTGGTTTGCGCTGACCCTCAAGTGTGAGCATATGGGTTCAGTAAATGACAAACTCTACTTTTTGAAGAAAAAAAATCAAATAAAGTCAAAATTCTTGATATAATTTTCTGTAAAATGGTTCTTAATCAGGGAGAGAAGAGCGGAGATTTCCGTCACGGGGTAGGCTGCTACTCCTACAACTCCTTTTACCAGTATCAGGGCACTTGGTCCAAGGGACTCAAACACGGACCAGGTCAGCTGATCCTCCGAGATGGTACCAGGATTCACGGGGAGTTCAAAGAGGGGGAGCTGACGGGAAACGGGATCAAAGTGTGGCCAGACAACAAACAGGTGAGAGAATAGAAAAAAAATACTTCAAAACTTTTCAGAAACCTCTTGATAGAACCGTCTTTGAACTTTATATTGATTTCATATACTTAAGTATTCGCATCTGTTGAAATATTATTATAAATCATGCTGGATTAAATATTAAATCGCTAGAGTTTTGCCGACTTTCTGCAAGTTGTTGATCTTCAAATGGAAATCTTCAGGTCTTCTAGCCACGAACATAACTTGAATGTTTTCTTTGAGACCACTTTCGTTGTAAATGTTCCCAGGTGTACAGGGGTACGTTTTTGAATGGACACATACATGGACACGGAGAGATGACATACTCAGACGGATCAACGGTTTGTTGGTTACTATTACTGTATTTTACACTAGCATCAATTTAGTGTATTATTAAGAACCTTCTTTTTTTTCCAAGCTGAGTTACAAATATTGATGCCACTTTTGGGGCACCTTTACAGCTTTTTGATAGCATCGTAATAAGTTAACTTAGTTGATGCATTTTTAGTTCATCAAATGAACCGGAAAAAGCTTATTTGTTTCACACAACATAACAAAAATATAAACTCGATTTCAGAAATTTTCTAACTCAACATATCTCCCAATTTTTTGAAATGCATAATTTATACATAATGTGGCTTTATGCTTTGCGATTTGTTACTTGAATTATTGCTTGCAAAATTGTGTCTATTTGTATTTGGTGCAACTTCTGCTGAAATGCATTGGCAATTTATTAGCATATGTAGCTGCTTTATTCGTGACTAGTGTTTGTCGGTGATTAAGCGTGCGTGGCTGAGAGGGTAGTCCGTGAGACTCAAAATCTCTTGATTGCAGTAGGTTGTTGAGCGAATCCTAGACCTAGTCGAATTTTTGCTAATTCGAGGCTTATTTCTACTTTTTTTTATGTCACTTGATAGAGCTGCCTTTTTGGTCGTGTTCTCGCTAGTGTTTGCGAAGCGAAGCTTCACTTCTGTATATAGTTAAACTTTTGTTATATTTTTATGTCAGCAAACAGGCTTATTCCTGAAAATAATGAAAAAATTTCAAAAAAAGTTGGCTCTGTTTTGCAATCAATTTAGGACACTAAATAAACAAAAATTCAAATCTTATGATCTGATCTTTAACAAGTGATCGGAAATCAGTTCACTTTTCTTCAAATTTATATAAGGTTATCCAGGACAACAGTCTACGGCTCGTTTTTGTTCCTGTGTGGTTTAATATTTACATTGTTTGTTGTATTGTAACCTCACAAAATTTATTTAAATTCAAGACCATCTATTTCGTAAAAAAAAAACTCACTATCAAAAATGTATAAATGTTTTAGTATGTGGGTCAGTTTATGAACAACAAGCGAGACGGATATGGCACACTAACAGACAAGAGTGGAGTCTACAACGGGCAGTTTCAGCAGAACAAAAGGGCGGGAAAGGGCATGCAGATGTTTGAGCAAAACCAGACGCAATCGGCCGCCTGCTATACAGGACAATGGCGGGAAAACCTTTTCCACGGACGGGGAAAATTTTCAGTCGATGGATACACAATTATAGCAAATTTCAAAGACGGAAAGCCTGAACAAATACCGACAAAGTACAAAATCGAAGTGAACAACGCGAGTGATTTTACCGTAGAAAAAGGGCACCCATTTGATATAAATGTCAGCCTTGTTGACCAAAATGGTGACCCAGTTGAGGGCTTTTCTGGGTTAAATTTCACAATTTCTTGTTGGTATAATATCGAAAAAATCCAAAAGTTCATAGACAAAGCTACCAAAACACCACAGAACATACTTGATATGGCTGCGCGGTTAAGTGCAATGCCAATGAGACGTTCGCCCTATTTAAGTGCTGTTTACCCTATGGTCAAGTTCCAGAAGTTTGTCCTAAGTGCAGATATCTCAAAGTGGGACACAAAACAGGTTCCGGATTCTGATTTCAGGTAAATTTGACTGTTTCAGAGTGCTTTTGTCTATGTACCAATAGATATTAGATAGCTCAAGCTCCGCCCTCTATATGAAGATTTCTTCTAAGTTTTCCTATGTGATGTGCAGTTTTATCCTGTTCGTTCTGTGCAACATCTGGTTACCTTTGATTTAAATGAGGCATTACGTATGCATAAGTAATGAATGAATACACTATGCCCCTATTGTGAAGGGGGTTGTGTAATATATCTAAATCTTTAAAGCCATCATAGGAAGAAGATAACGAGATGATGATTTAAATTGAGAATTTTTTTTCTAAGAGACTTGGTCATAAGATTAAATTTCGCTCCGGGTAATTTCTTAATTTCGCTTGATTGTTTCAGCTCCAAAGCAATAGACATCATCCGCGAAGGACCCCAGGACACAGAGGTCAACTTCTTCACCAACTTCCCCAATATGACCCCCTCATTCCCAATACCACCCACGACAGGACAGGTCAGTAAAATGGTCCACATGCTATACTTCACTGCCCTTGCGATAAGCAAGGGTGTTGCAATCGGTCCTAGACTTTTTTTCCTGTAAACAACTTTGTCCACAGGATAATCTCCAATTTCAAGATTTCCATTTTCAGCACCGACTTTTTTTAAGCATTTTGATTATCCGTCCAGTAATTTTACCAACTTGTTTTTTTATTTCATTTTTTTAAATATTTTTCTTTTTTCTCGGTTAAGTAATATTATTTCGGCTTATTGGCCTCATATTGCGTCCTTAAGTAAGCAAAAAAAATTAAAATGTCTGTTTTTAAATTTTTTTTCTGTTTTTTCTTTTTTTTCGTGTTGATAAGTTTCGGCCTATTTTACATGGTTTATTGGCCTCATATTTTTTTTTGATTTAGTAGCTGTTTTGCATTGTATCGCAAGTGGTGCGAAGCTCGACCTCGCCTCTGTGTAAAAGAATTGTTTAAAAAAATGAGCATCTGATGATGATTGAAACCTTGGGTCCAAAAATTTGTTCAGTGTTTTTTAAAGTTACCAATATCGAAAAGTTATTCAGTACTAGGCTAGGAGTCACCGTTGCTTTTCAGGCCATGGTCATAATAAGCATCTTCTGAATGTAAATACCCAATTACAATAGCTTTAGTTAAGCTCATAGGCGTTAAGTTATTTCCAGAGCTGACTTAGGTGACCTCGTATGCCCTCTCAAAAAATGAGATCCTAATTACTCGAAGAGTCATTCTTTGTTACTATTGTAAAACGACAATTTTGGCCGACTAACTATTCAGAAACTTCAGAAAAGTGGCCAAAGATAGCTTAATTTTGCAAAAACTTGTCGGCGGCGCAGAAGTTGAAAATCATAGAATTTGACATTTTGTTGGTTTTTAGAATTGATTGTTGCGTTGAATTATACAGGGGATGAACGCTTTGTTTATTTCTAGGTGGACATCCGTGACACATGTCTGCCTGGAGATATGAAAGAGAGCTACCCTCCCCTGCTGCTGGACAAACTGAAGAGGGAGTGGGAGGAGCTGCAGAAGGAGGAGAGCAAGAAGACCAGGGTGGTCTACTTCGGAGACAGACCCAGAGACGTCAAGTTCGATGCACTCGGTCAGCCCATACTTGTGGCCAGTGCAGTCGAGGCAACCAAAAAGTGAGACCACCTTTTCTCTTTTCTAAGACCACATTTGAAAAAAAGCTTGTTTTTTATAAACCAAAACCCCTTCTCGTGATGATGATAGCAGACCTTTCGTGACCAATTAAATCATCATCTGCGAAATTGTTTGATAATCCAGCATTCCAGCAGTAAATTATCAGATAAATCAATCTGTTCTCGTTTGTAGGAAAAGAGTTGCTGGAATATGGTAATATGGCAGCACGGGTCACGGTCGAAGCAAATAAAAGATAGCTTGCTCCTAAAACTCATCACTACTTGTAGAATGAAAAAATAGTTTTCAATACTAGTACTAACTAGTAGTTTTTATACTATTACTAACTAATCCAAAATATGTTGATAAGTAGTCGTGAACTTAATCTTAGATATTATTTTGCTTGCAAATCGAAACCGAGTTCGAATGAACTCTGAATGATCAGCCTCTCCAGAAAAGAACGAATGATTCTGGTTTTATTTGTGTGACATAATTGTCAACCTGAAAACTTTGTTTCTTTCAGCCGAATGACTAATTGTCATTATCAAATAAGCCTCAAGCACCAAGTAGTTTTTAAAATCTTTGTATGCAGAGGTATTGCTAGTCAAAATGACTTCAACGAGGCTCTGAAAGTTTGAAGCTTGAGAAGCATTTGATCATGATGAAAATAGTACATCTACATATTTTTAGTAAGCGGTCACGCCAATTACACAGTTTAAGATAGTTCGATTTACTTGACCGTTTTTGAAAGCTTTTTGTTGAAAAATTGAATAAAAAATACTCTGACATTAGTTGAGATGGTCAATCTAACTACATGAAGCATAATTTCATAGTGTGCGTTTAACCTGTGAAGATTCTTAATGCAATTCCATAAAAATTACTCATGTGCATGATAGTGATAGACTCTTAATTGTCAAAAAATGTTAATTTCTCTCCTTCCCCTCAGGATTCGATCCTCTTACCACTTTTTTGTTCTATTTTACAACATCATTGTGGTTGATCAAACCTAAAGTTTCCACAAAGGCGCGTTCGGCGCTATTATGAATTAAATGACGCCAAAAAACACAATTTGTAATTAAAAACTTGGCCCTGTAACATCATTTTGGCTGTTGAAAATCAATTGGATTGGAACGATCCAAAAAATATATTTGAAATGATGATTATTATTATTTTTGTTATTATTATTACTATTATTATCTTTATGCGGGAAGTGGGGAATCTGGGTAAAGTTATTATTACGAAGTCACTTAGTTAAAGAACCGCAAGCTTTTCACTGTGGGGCAAATTCCTCATTTGCTGAAGAGATATAAACTCGTGCGACCCCATTCCACCCATTCCAAGCACTAAAACTACCCGTTATTTTTCAAGCAGCTCCGAATGTCAATCATTATTTGAGAAATCTTCTGTTCATGTTTCATGTTCTAAAAAAGTTTCAATTTCGCTCTTAAAGATTCCTAACTCATTGCTTTTAGTAACGGCAAACTCAGGTATGTTAGTTAAATTTAAGTTTGCGAAGTTGCAGATTAGATATAAACTTGGATACTTGACTCTAGTGAAGCCATCAAGGCCTCGTGGTATATGGCAAAAGAGTATACTAGCGCAACAGACCGTTTCAATATGCCGCCAAGCAAAAGAAGTCGATGAAAAGAAAAGCATCCGTTTTAAATTATCCGGAGATCATTTTGGTGCTTTCTCTAAAAACTATTGTAAATGCGGCTTGAAAATTTGTCTGCTTCTAGCCTTATCGATGTTTCTGAAACTGACTGCCTGTTGTTTCGTTATTCATGCGTTTTCTTCTGTAGATGTAATTCAGGCATATAGACAGTTCACCGAAACGACTCATTTCTTCCTTTCCCCTCCTCAGATATTCGACCCCCTGCCGACCCAAAGGGTCCCCATTTGTACTATTTTGAAATATCCATTTTTGGCTGACTGATCCTAAAAATTTTTCTAATATTTAATATATACTTAATATAGTAATTTAATATATACTAATTTTGAGGGGGAAGCGCACGCCGAAAAAACGCGATTTTTTGGTCAAACTTTTCTAAAAAGTGCCTAAAACGCCTTTTTTGGCTTGTTTTTTTTTCAAAAATTTGGGAGAGCTCAGAAAATCAATTTGGTCGACCTAAAAGGACCGAGAAAATTTTTTGAATTCTTTTGAAAACCCAACACTCCCCCTCCCCCATGGAGAAAATCCTGCATCCGCCCCTGGTCGAGATACATCAAGTGTATCAGTTTGTTGAATTTTTTTTAGCAAAAACACGAAACTACCGATTGACAAGATATTGAGGAAGCACTACGCGCACACGGGCGAGTACTTGTTGGTGGTGGCCGATGACTCACCCAGCGGGTTCTTCGACTGGTTCGGAGTCCCCAAAATCAAACAGAGCTTCGTCAGACTGAAAGTTCAACCATCGCACAAAGACAAAGATGACACAAACTAGATCTATTAGATTAATTTTGAGGCTTTTTTATAGGCTCTGGCAGCATTCAAGAAACGCATCAGATAATGCTCTTTTCTTCTGATAAGTGTTATTGATTATTGTTATATGGACCACTTGAGAAATAATGTGATATATTTTAATTTTTTATTGACTGGGTCCACTATTAAAAATATGAACAAATTTGGTTTTGTCTGCTATGTCTTGTATTTCGTCGTTTCTCGTAGAATTAAGAATGGATAATGGACATGATAATTGGTTTGATGCAAGTTTTGAGTTAGTTTGAGGCTAGATAGCAAGCTTGATGTTTATTAAATGGTTTGATTTTTTCAGTTTTTTTTGTAATAAACTAGATTTACTTTGTCGTACATAGTCACTGTTTCCGAGGCAGCACAACAGTGCCAAAGTTCAACAGCGCCTATAAAAATTCGTTAAAGTGCAGAAAATAAAAACTGGGCCCATAATGAGTTCACCACTTATTCGCGCTTATTTTGGTCCCTCCTCCTGGCAGTGATTAGAATTTCCAGGGCTACTATTCAAAAAAATGGGGTTTTTATAAGTGCAATTGTTATTGAATTTTTCTCGACATCTCGTCTAATTCATCCTAAAATGGTAGAAGTTTAACTAATTTATTATTACCTTCAACCTACTTGTCTACTTATTATACGATGATCAATTCTTAAAATTAGCTCATCAAACTCATTGATGAAAATGAGACTTCAAAACGTCTGTCTCGAATAACAGCGAGATTTTAGCAGTTTGAAGCTGATGTATTGCCACTAAACACCACATGATGAGCGTTTTTATGATAGAATGGTGCCGTTAATATGCTCTCAGCTTTGTGCAATTTGATAAACAACACTTTTCACATGGTAATGACCAACTGCTCTAGACCACAACATGCTGCGACTGTTTTCAAATATGCTGTCATTCATTTTTCTCTGAGTAAAACATTGTAAAAAACCTGAACAAACTGAGGAAACTGAATAAAACATTATGAAATAATTTTAGGTGTCTGAGCCTTCTTTTCTAAACTATAAAAATCTCAGAAGTGTTTTGGTTGCCACCCAAAATTATAGAATTCAAAGGATCTGTGGTGGTACAGTGGATTCCCAAAACTAGTCAAATGTATCTCGAATTAATGTTTGTGATAATTTTCTTTTTTTTTCATGAGTACAAGCGAATCGCGAAATACTTTGGAACTAGTTCTGGAAACGGTATATAGGCAAGAACACTTTTCATACAAGCAAAAAACGAGCGCTCCTGAAACACTATATTATTATTAATATATTTATAATTATTTATTTATTTATATATATTTATTTATAATTATTTATAATTATTATAATTATATCTGCTTGAAATTTCAATTTAAATGGCAGAAAATGTCGATGGAACTAGATTGGCTTATTTATAGTGCATAAGACCCTTCAAATCCATAAGAAAATTTTCAATTTGATACCTCTATCAATTGCTAGATTAGTGCTAATGAACCAACCAATTATTAACCGCAGAGAAAAAAATGAGCTGAGAATACAAAACAGATTTGCTCTGCTTGCATTTTCTAGCACTGAACTTTGATCAATTTTTGTGACTAGAGTACTTGTGTACTCAAGGAAACGCGAAAGTTATATCGTGAGTCAAGTTTTTCCAACCTAACTTCCTTATACTTGTTCATGATTGAACAAACTGATCAATAAACCCTACCACAATGTAAAGTAAATATCGTGATCATGATTATTCCCGCATTTGAATGTAATATTTTGTATATCATAGAAATAACAAGAGTGCGAAAATACCTTTACCAGTAGGCAGGGGCGGATCTAGGATTTTCTCGAGGGGGGGCGGATTTTCAAAAAATTTTCCAAAATTTTGACGACCTTTTTTTTTTTTAGGTCGACCAAATTGACTTTTCGAGCTCTCCCAAAGCACTGTTTTGCCCCTATTTTGGCAAAGTTTTCTGCGCCGCAGGCAAATTTTTGAAAAAACAGTCAAAAAAAGCCGTTTTTGGGCACTTGTTGAAAAATTTTGACAAAAAAATAGCGTTTTTTTGGCGCGCGCTCCCCCTCAAAGTTAGTATATATTGGCGCCAAAGGCGCCTTTAGAAAAATTTTAGGGTCGGTCGGCCAAAAATGGATTTCTGAAAAAGTATCAAAGGGGGGACCCTTTGGGTCGGCAGGGGGTCGAATCCCTGAGGGGGGGGGGCGTCCGCCCCCCCTAAATCCGCCCCTGCCAATAGGTAAAAGTATCGAAAAAGTGAGGTACGTAGTTACACCCCACCCCCAGAGTGAGGTACAGAGGTAACCCCAGTACAGAGGTAAGAAGACAAGGAACACCACCCCTCAATGCGGTATCCTACTACGCACATCAACCGAAGGCCTTGTCAATACTACCGCTCAGCAAAATTGATCAATTTGTGTAACTGTCTACTACTTATGTTTTATCAGCATAATTTTATCCGGTTTATTCATTCCTCGACATCACTCCTCGCCAAGAAATGAGCCAAAATGAACTTAACAACAGCGGTTGTAGATCAGTTTGATTCAGACCACCGATTTTTGGTCATGAAGTGGCGCTTAAATAGTTTAATTTACGAAATTTACTAATTTCAGGTTAAACTGTTGGTTTTGTAATATGATGTAATGGTTTGCTGTAAAAGTAGGAAAACATAATATCTCATTGAACATTGCAATTTTTCAAGGTCAAAGAGTTTTTTAATGTTAAAGAGCGGTATGTTACTCCAGTAGCGTAAGTTTCGCGGTTTTTTTTATTATACACACGCAAACGATTGTTATACTGACTGTTCGCTTCTCTCAACCTAACTCGCCGAGAGTGCCACCCCTTCATTTAGTGTAAGTATGTTTTGATGTTAGAATGAGTTATTGAAGATAAAAACAGTTTTAGAAGGTGGTATGGGCCTACCATCGAAGTCTTGTAATTGAGTGTGAAAACCACTTTTTTGGTTTTGCTGAAAGAGTGCAGTTCAATCCTGATTTGTTTAACTAAGCAGATAAGAAAGACAGAAAGAATTTCATTCTTCAGACATACAAAAACATTTACAAAAAAAAATCAAACAAATTAAGCAATTTAATGTTGGTAAACGTGCGTATTCTTTTTTCATTATCTATTTTTTTAAAATATTTTTTAAGTTTCAAAATTTCTACAAAAATGGTGTTTTCTCGAAAACTAGCAATTTCTGGAAGGTCATATTTTCGAGTAGAATTAGAGCCTCAGATGAAACTCTGATAGCATCAAGATCAAGCATCACTTTTTGAAGGAAAAATCAGGGCAACTAAATCTGCTATATACTAACTCACTATTACCTAGGATGTAAATGTCTCTAAATTTATGGACTAAAAGTCTTTCATCAGTTTTTAAACTTTGCCTATATATATTGCCAGAAGATTATTTCCGTTCAACATATGAAGCAACCTTGAACCCCTATTAGTTAATGAGTACAACCTAATTTTATTTTTAGGGAATAGGTTAATTTACCCGAAATCCTTGTTTTATAAATGAAAGAAGTTTTTAAAGATTAAAAAAACTAAGATATTGATTCGGGTTTCTACTATTTAAAGATCTCAGGCAAAACTTCAGTAGATCATAAACATAAAGCTCATGAACAGTTATTTTTTCTATCATGAAAACTTTTGGTTATAGTGTCGAATTTTCTTTTGAAATTATTTTCCGCTGATACGTTAGAACCTAACTCAAAATTGAAAAACTAGTAACACCATACACAAGCAAGCCCTATTGTAGTATGGGCTTTATGTTAGCATTATAGTATATGAGTAAAACACATTTCGGAATATAATGCCTCATTTTTGAAACAGCACCGCACTGCCTCCCTAATTAAATGTTTAATTTTTGGATATGATGTATGAAAGTAAGTTTATTATCAAGTATTACGCCTAAATATCTGTACCATGGCATGGGACTATACACAAAATCATCAATGCAAACATGAAAAATGGAAGCACTTCTATTTTTTCAAAACAGATTAGGGTTGTTCTGTCTGAGTTAATGGTTAATTTAATTGATTTCTTCCACGCCGAATATGCTGGAAGAATTCAAACTTTGCGTTCTCACATGCTACCTTTGTATCATCAGAAAACAGAAAAACGTTTGAACTCACTTCAGCGTGATGCATATCATTTGCGTAAACTAAAAAGAGAAGAGGACGTAAAACAGAACCCTGCGGAACGCCCGTGGTCACTGGTAACCAATCCGACGAACAATTGTTCCCATGAACACATTGAAACCTTCGAGATAAAAACTTCGACTTGCTACTGGTTACAAGCCACTTGCCCTCGCAAGTGAAATTCATTCTCAAAAAGACTCGAACTTGCTACTGGTTACAAGCCACTTGCCCTCGCAAGTGAAATTCATTCTCAAAAAGACTCGAACTTGCTACTGGTTACAAGCCACTTGCCCTCGCAAGTGAAATTCATTCCGAAAAAGATTCGAAACCCTGACTAGTGCTTCACCGTGACGCTTAAAAGCACGCCAAAAATTATTGAACACTAAAATGAGTTTCATGATAAAGCAAGTTCAAATTCTTTTTAGAACAAGTATCGGAAGTGAAGCTAAGTCGACAAGAATTAAGCTGCAGGTTGCTCGTTGGAAAAAAGTTGAGACATTAATACTCACAAATTGAAAGCAAGTAGCACAGTAATTTCCGACCGTATTCATAAAAAATAAAAGAATAAAACGCTTTTTTTTTATTTTTTTTTTAAATACTTTTGTACAATTTTTTTAAATCCTTTTTTGGCAAATAAGCGCTGAAAAAAAATCTAAGACTAGTTTTCCTGATAGTAAAATCAATTTTTGTGAGCCTAAAATTTTTTTGAAAAACAGTTAATTTCCATATAACGAACGTTACTTGATCGCGTTTTTCGCTCGAAAATGAACAAAAAATCGACTTTTTAAAACGGACACAAAAACCAGATTTTAACCTTGACACTAAATATCAAGGTTCAAACGAATTTGTGGTTTCATAAGAAAGCAAGGTCAATATTTTACAAAAAAGGACTTGGAAAAAGTCTTTCTCCGAGTTTTAAGTCACTTACTCTCCCAGGTGAAACAGAAGCAAACAAATTTATTTTGCTTTCTGAAAAATAAACTTTTGGAAAAAAGCGTTGGAAAAAGTAAATTCACCAGTTAGTATTACGCTTAAAAATTTGATTGTGAAGACAATTTAAAGTTATAGGAAACAAGCTGAGTGGAAATCAAATTTAACTACAGAGGCAAAACGTGGATAACTTTCTCTGTTGCTCAAAAATTCAATTTGAAAAAAAAATTAACATAATTTCTCATAAAACAGGAGATCAAC